GAATTTTATCAAAGTGAACCTGGCTTCGGCTCGGCCGCCCTTTTGTCCCGCGCTCCGCGGGCTGCCCGTCTCGTCTGCCTTTCGCTGGGCCTCGTCTGGCCTGCCCTCCCGCACTCGATACCCTTTCGCACGATTAGTCGTCCGGCACCCCGTCGGTCCGGCGGCCGGGCGGGCTCCACTCCACTCTCCCCCGCGACGCAAGCTGCGCGAGCCGGGCGGCATTCCGAACGATGCTCTCGTCGCTCGCTGTCTCTCTCGCACCCCCACGGGACGCCCAGGCTCGGGCTGGCCAGGGCAGACAGGCAGAAAAATCTGCCGGGGCCTTCGGATTTGTGACCAGTAACGTCACAAAGTTGGTCAAAAAGTGATTGAATGTCCGAAAGTAGCCGTTTTTGCTGAATTTGAGCGGCCACTGTGTCCAATCTAGTTGCCGTAAAAGGCCTCCCTCGACGTCCTAGTATTCTTAAGACCCTACTCTTTCATGCCCTGTATCGCGGAGACGTTGACCACAACGATTTTGCCTTTGACCGCAACGATTTTGGGACCAAAGTTGGTCAAAAAGTGGTCGAATCTCGGAAATTTGCTGATTTTGCTGACTTTGGGCGGCCACTGTGTCCAATCTAGTTGCCGTAAAAGGCCTCCCTCGACGTCCTAGTATTCTCAAGACCCTACTCTTTCATGCCCTGTGTCGGGAAGACGTTGACCACAACGATTTTGCCTTTGACCGCAACGATTTTGGGACCAAAGTTGGTCAAAAAGTGGTCGAATCTCGGAAATTTGCTGATTTTGCTGACTTTGGGCGGCCACTGTGTCCAATCTAGCTGCCGTAAAAGGCCTCCCTCGACGTCCTAGTATTCTCAAGACCCTACTCTTTCATGCCCTGTATCGGGAAGACGTTGACCACAACGATTTTGCCTTTGACCGCAACGATTTTGGGACCAAAGTTGGTCAAAAAGTGGTCGAATCTCGGAAATTTGCTGATTTTGCTGACTTTGGGCGGCCACTGAGTCCAATCTAGCTGCCGTAAAAGGCCTCCCTCGACGTCCTAGTATTCTCAAGACCCTACTCTTTCATGTCCTGTACGGGAAGGCTATTGACCGCAACTAGTTTGGGAGAGGTAGCCTTACAAAGTTGGTCATGAAGGGTAAAAACAATGATGATCGGGGGCCTTTTGCGATCTTATCTGCCGGGGCCATTTGGGGGCCAGTCCGAGCCTGGGGACGCCCCGTGAGTGCGAGAGAGACAGAGCGACGAAGGACCGGAATAGACCTGAGCTGGACAGAAGGTTCGGAACCGGGCGTCGCGGGCCACAAGGTGCAAAGCCAAGGCAGCGGGGCGGGGCGGGCGGGGCGGGGCGGGGCGGGGTGCCATCTGCGGGGACACCGACGACGTCGAAAAACCGGCATGCCGCGGGACGCGGGTCGTCCGTCCGGCCACAGGGACGGGGACAGACTGCTCCGCCTGCTCGGGGGTCAACAGCGACCGCACACCGAAAAGTTTCGTCAACTCCCTCCTCTAATATTTCCACCTCATTGAGCTCCACCCCCCGGCGGAGGGGCGGACGGACAGACGGACAGACAGACAGACCGACGGACGGACGGGAGAAAGGAGCTCCACAAGAGAAGTGCCCCAAGAATAAATCGCGGGAAAGATTTACATCCCCAGATGGGTGGGGTCTTTGCCAATCTGAACGGCCGAACGGCGGCAGCAAAACTGGCGTCGAATTCACATTCGGACAACGACTTCTACTTTCACTCACTCTGATCGGTCACTTCACCGTAAAGGTTTCGACACACGCTCCTCGCCGTGTCGGCCCCGCCCGGCCCCGCCCTAACGGGTGCACGACGCGGCAGTCGAATTACCCGCTCTAAAGTCCCCGCTAAAGTCGAAGCACAGCACGCTGCTCCTCTTTGCTCCTCTTTGGCTGGTACCACCCGGCACCCAGACCCGCCCAAAGTTTGTTTGATCCGATGTTTGATCGCAAACGGGACGCATCGCTGCTACTCGCGGCAAGTTACGTCGCGTCGCGGCGGGGAAGGGGAGGGGGGGGGGGGCACGTGGCTTCCTGCGGGAGCGGGGATGAGAGGATGAGACCCCCCGCGGCGAGCGGCCGGGCTAGCCGGCGTCCCATCCCGCCCGGCAGCCCGGCAGGCGTTTGCATACAAAGGTACCAACCTAATTTTTCGAGAGGGCTCGCTTCCTTCCGAGATGCGCGGGATAGGGTTCGGCGCGGCGGGGCGTGGCGGCTTGGAGGGGGAAGGGGAGGCGGGGGGGGGGGGGGTTTCCCATCTCGTCCGGCCGCCGCAGCCTCCGCGTGTGTACAGCCAAGCCTCTGCCGCGGAGCGCAAGTGCGGCAAAGACCTCGGCACTGCACTGCGGCGGGCGCCCCGTGTACTGCCGGCTCAAATTTCGACGGTGGTTACGACGCGGGCTTAGGCAGAATAACACACACGCACACACACTCTCAGAAGTCACACGAACGTTTCTCACGTCGGTAGCTGTGAGACGGGCAGCATAAGCGAGGCTAGGCAACGCGTTTGCCGGACTTTTGGCTTCTACTTTACCGACAGTGCCAACGTTAATCTGAACGCAGGCGCGCGGACCGTGTGGGCCGGTGTCGGCGAGCTGGACGCGTATCCAGAGTCCCTGTCCCAGTCCCCTGGGCACTTCACCCCGCCCGCGACCCCGCCTCACCCCGCCCCGCCCTGCCCCACCCCGCCCCACCCCGCCTCCGCGGAAGCCGCGTGGCTTTGACCTGGTCAGCCTTTCCATCCCTGGTCAGCGCCACGGCATGCAGGCCACCCGAGGCATCCCTGGACCAGCTCCCTTCATTACATGGCCGCCGCGATACTCGAGGCTCCCGGAAACCGGATCGGTGTGGTACATACTGTACGGTTCGGCCACTGCCACTGGGGCTGCCGAGCTCGGGTTCAACTCCTCTCCGCTTCCTTTCACGTCTTTTTTTCCCGCGTTGATTCCCCGCTACACCTGTTTCACGGCGCGTCGCTTCCGATGGGCGGCGCGGCGTACAAGGTGACATAACCGCCCCTATCGTCGCGCCGCGCGTCGCGCCGGCCGTCCTACGGTCAGCCGGCTGCTTCCCAACTCGCTCTGCCTCTCTCGCACTCATGGGGCGTCCCGAGGGAGTGCGAGAGAGACAGAGCGACGAGGCGCACTGCTCGGCCGGCCCACGTGCCGTCCCTCGGCGTGGCGCTGCTGGCCTGCTGGCACCGCGTCAATGGCTTAACGCACCGCCTGGAATCCTCTCTTTTTCCCACTTTCATCCGCTCTTTCCCTTTTTCTCTTTTCTTTGCCCGTTTTTCTGTGTTTTCCCGGCCGGGACGCGCGGCGGCGCCCCCGCGGCCCTCGCGGCACGCGCCGCCGAAGCGACGTGGGGGCCAACCAGTGGCGCGGTTCCGCCGCCCGCAGTCTGTCTCTCTCGCACCCGCACGGCACACGCCATGCACGCCGTGCGCGCGAGAGAGACAGAGTGAGGTGCTCGGGATCGGCCTGCCGGCCTGGCGATCGTCGTGGAGACGAACAGGGATGCGGGGATGCTGCGTGGATTAGTTGCCTCACGGTGTGGCGTCCGCCAGTCCGCCGCGTCCGCGCCCCGATTTGGCGCGTCCACACGTAAGGCACGTGCACTGCACGTGCTATTGCACCCACGGCCGGAGGGGTGGACGAGGCTGCCTGGAGGCTGCCTGCCACGGTTCCGCAAGAAGATGGACTTCCCTGACAGCCAGGAAACGCGAGTATCGTCATCGACCAAGTTCCAATCGTCGACGAAATGAGACTCCGCCGAAGTCAACTTCGGGCATTGATTCAGAGAGAAAGAAGACGCTTCAATGAAAGCCTTCTGTTCGGCGCGTGCCTCCAACTCCTTCTGACTGTGCGCTGGAGGTGCGAATTATTCTCATCGCGTCGTGCCTCACTGCATTCTTCCCAGCCAGCCCGCACTCCTCTGGAGTAGTTTTCCTTATTTTCGCGCCGTTTTCCCCAGTTCCTTATGGCCGAAAGGGGGAGCGGCAGTGCACCGTGCACACCTCGCCGCCGTGGCACTGCCAGAGCGCCAGGCAAGGCGCGTTCATAACTCTAATTATTCAAAGAAGGTACTTGCACACCGTGCGGCCCCTATCAGCCCGGAGGCAGGCAACCCTGCGCACGCGGCCTCCTCGTATTCTACCTGCCGGCATAAACGATTAAAAAACAAAAAAAAGTTCAAAATAAACAATAAAACAGCAAGGTCTTTAACCCCCGGTGCATCTCGTTATTCTAGAAACACGAGTATGGCCGGTATCTAGATTGTCTGTCATTCCCTTCATCTTCGCCTGGTGCACCAGTAGTGGTGGGAGAGCGGCCAGGACACGATAAGATGGCCCGATACACCGCGCTGCTCCCACCATGCCAATTGTATTACCGACTTCAAAGCCCGGCCGGTCCGTTTCGCGCCGCACGGCGGCTGGGGAATGACGTATGGGAAGGGAAGGCTGGGGTTGGCAGGGAAGGGAAGAGGCCCTCCTCCCTGGAGGGGAGGGCCTCCTCGTCTGGCGAATGTGGACAGTCTCGAAAATGAAATCCGGCGAGCGAGACTACAACTTTAACTCTAAAAGTCTGAAATGTCTACATTGAAAACAGCAAATTTTGAAGATGAGCTCCCTGGTCATTTCCTACCATCCACTGGCGTTCGTTCGTCGGAGGCAGCAACAACTTCCAGGCACCATGTTCCTCGCTATTGTTTAAATCGAAAAGAAAATAAATGATCCAAAGGCGAAGTTAGTCGCTTCGAACTCCACTCCGGATTTCGATAGCGTGGGGCACGGGTGCATGGAGAATGGCTCGCGGCCGGACGGGATCCAGGTGCGGAAGAGTCCAGTGAGAGAGAGGGAGGGTGAGCGTTCCCCTCCTCGTCCACGCTGGCCTCCTCGTGGAAGGGGGCGTCGCTGCCCAACAAAACCGGCGTCCGGCGACGCAGCGCTTCAGATCTTCCGTGACCCCCGCGAAGTCCGAGTGCAGTGATTGCTCCAACCATGGTCTCCAGCGCGTTCCTCGTGAGTGTCCAGTGCCGTGCCACGCCTCGCCGTGCCCTGTTGTTGTCCAGTGTTGTCCAGTCCGCTCTCAGGAAGCAGCCGAAGTAGTGCGCGAGTGTTTGTGGCGTGTTCGTCGAATCGGCGCTGCGTCCGGTCGTGTTGGGTCGTCGTCGTGCTGTCCGAATGGACTGTCGAGTTTTGAAATAGATTTTGCGTGTCGTGCTACATCAACTCGCAAGCAAACTCAATATGCAAAGAAAAGAAGACAAGAAAAACGTTGAACTAATGAATTCATTGATTCCGTGACACACAAAAAAAAAGTTCACTTGATTAATTATTTGTAGGTAAAACAAGCAATCTGTTGCCACCGCAACAAAGAAGTTGTTGAAGAGATATTGAAACTGTGAAATTCTTTGTTGCGCCAACAGATCGCTTCATTTGGATAGATTATGCGTCAGACAAACATTTTTTTTTGTTATCGCGGAATCAAAGAATTTAGGCGTTAGATGAACGGTTTGGTTTTCTTTGTGTAAAGTGAAAAAGATCAACCATAGATCAACAAAAAAACATTTCTGAAAAAAATAAAAAATGATTTGATGCTGGAAAGCTTTTAATCATCGGCAGCACTCTATTCGATAGAGGAAGGTCTTCATCAAAGGGTGTGTTTTTGTCTTTTCTCTTCGTGAATTTTTATTCACGCCATGCCCTTTCCCCTGAAAAGAAGTTTTAAAAAACGTGGGAGGGAAGGACGAGGGGGAAAAGGAGGGTGGGGGCAGAGAAGGGGTCAGGAATTTCAAAACAACCAAGCCGTTTATCTGAGCCAACAACTAGTTAATTTTTCCCATGGAAGCGCGTAGGAGGCGGTCGGCGGTCCCTTTGTGCGCGGCCAGAGGGAAAAAAATGGTCGCATCGTTCACATGCGATCGAAGCGCGACCCCCCTCCCCGGATGGCCGTGGGAAAGCAGGGCTCCTCTTCGGCCAGCGTCGCGTCGCGTCGGACCAATCATGGGAAAAGGGCGTCACGCCGGCCAAGCCGCGGCAGCCGCGGCCAGCGCAGTGGCGCGCAGTGGCGGCCAAAGGGTTATTGGCAGGAAAGCGTGCGATTTTTTCTTCCCGCGGTGTTAATTATTATTTGCAGCGCGCGCGTGGCTGGTGGCGGCGGTATTTGCAGAGAAAACCGCCCCTAGGTTTATGGTGTAGTGCCTCGCGAAGAAGGATGGACTCGCCAGATCATGGACCCCTTCTCCTTCATCGTCCCCTTCTTCTTCTCCTCTTCCTCCTCCTCCTCACCGCGGCACTTTTACTATCGAAGTTTCTCGGCAGGCTTGTCAAAGTCGTGAAGGGGAACTGCCTGTATGCGTGATTAAGTTTTTCCCTATCCCTGCTCGACTCGAAAGGCTCCAAAAGGGCGCTCCAAAGAAGTTGCCCGGAAACTCGTGGCGGCAGGCCTCAGCAAAGGGCCGCAGGGCCACAGCGCCACACGGCCACGGGGCCACAGTGCTGCATAACTGCAGCCGCTGCAGACTGGAGGAGGGCGGAGCCCCCCAACGAACGTTATAATCTGCTCTTTCTCTCGCGCGCCGCTGCTGCCTGCTGCTGCTTGCTGCTGGTGACCTTATTAGTCGAGTATTAACAGGCGCCGTGGTGGGTCGCGGCTCCCGCACCGTCAGCGCCACCGGGCTTCCTCCTCCCCCTCCACTTCCTCCTCCGCGTCGCGGGCGTCGCGGGGTGACGCTGCAATTGCCCCGTTTAGTGCGTGGCTTTCCGGCGACGCGGTCACGACGGCCACTGCGACCGCCGCGGCCGCGATGTTCACCACGACGGCGGCCACGATGACCGCCACCATGGCAGCCACGATGCGACCACCATGGCGGTGGCCAAGATTTAGATGACCACCAAGAACGCAATCGTGATGACGGCCACGACGACCATCGCGATGACGGCCTCCGAAAGCCGGAGAAATGACGGCGGCAGCAGGCCTCCCTCCCTTCAGCGCGCAGCGAACGTAGCGAACGCAACCATCAATCGACGTTAAACGCCAGCGAGTGCGAGAGCTGCGAGAGCGTGAGAGATCCCGATACCGGTGCGAGTGCACGAGACGGCCAAGTATTAAGTCATCCACGTGTCCGCCGCGCGTCACGGCTTGCGGCACAGCCCGGCGGCGCGGAAGGGCATCACTCACTACGAGCGGGGGGCTTTCGCGTCCACGCCTCCACGCGGGGAAACACAGTGGCGGTGCAGTTTGAGTGGCAGTACGTGGCCCTCCACCATAAAACTATTTTCCTCTTCATCTTTTCGCCGCCGTTCGGTTGGCCCCGCACCACCGGGGAACCGCCCGCCCGGCCGCCGCCCGGCACTTAGCGATTTGTCCACCGCCAAGTGAAGCCGTTACGGTCATCTGGCCCACTGCCTCCGTGACGTCCGTGACGTCCGTGACCCGCATGCGCCAGGCCGACCGGGCCAACCACGGCCTCGGCCTCGGTGGGGTGGCACGGCCTCGGCCTGCGCGCCTTCCCCGAAACGGGACGACGGCCTGGCGGGCCTGGCGACACCGCGACACCCCGTGGCGTTGCGTTGCCGCGTTGCCGCGGGGACGAGAAGCCCAAAGCCGCGCAGCCCCGCAGCCCGCCACCTGCCAGAGGGCCCCGCAGGCCAATCAGCGCTTTCGCCGCCCTGTCTCTCTCGCGGGACGCCCCTCGAGTGCGAGAGAGACAGGGCGACGAAAGCGCAGTTCGAAATCAGCCTGCGGCCCACTGAAACTTGGTTGCGAGCATCAAATGGCTATCCGGCGTGCTGCGCGTCCGGTGGCCGCGGCGTCCTTGCCGTCGTCGCCGTCCTCGTCGTCCTACTCCGCGGTTGCAGTGAGCTGGCTGAACCAACCTCTGTCTTGCCCTGTCCGCAGGTGAGCCTGGCGGCGGGCGTCGCCCTGCTGTCCACCACGGCCCTGGCCGGCATCGCCACCCAGTACGAGCCGGTGTACGGCCACGGCCACGGCCACGGGGAGGAGCATGCGCTGGACTACCACGTGAGTCGAACACCTCCCGTAAATCACGCGCCACTGTTATCGAGACGGGCGCAGTGAGTCGTGAGTCAAATCAGCGCGCGGCGCGCCCCGCTCCGCCGAACCAACCGGACGCAGAGATTAGCCGCCCGACGCAGCACCAACGTCATTTTTCTCCGTTTGGCGTGGCCGTTGCTGTGTCTCTCGCACTCACGACGCGTGCCGTAAGGGTGCGAGAGTGACGGAGCGACGAAATGATCCTGGCGGTGGCGTCGACGGCCAGCTCCACATGACGGCCGTCCCGATGGTCCTGATGGCGGTGCGCCGCGGTTTATTTTCCCGCCGGTGTGTCATTGGCTGGAGAAAGTAGGCGGACGGCCAGCCCTGCCTGCTCTGGCTGCTCAGCCTGCTCTGCCTCGGCTCTGCCGCCGCGCGACGACGGCGGCGTCACGGCCTCGCGTCGCGTGGCGCGTGGCCCTCGGCGTGGCCTAGGTCAGTGTCAATGCGGCGCGCCAAACAAACAGCGCGCTCGAACGGCAGGCAGCAAGCTCATGTGCTCTGTCTCACTCGCACTGACGGGGCGTCCCGGTGGGGCGTGAGGGAAACGGAAGGACGAGCACCAGCCTGCAGGTCCAGTCCAGGTCCAAGATAGAATACCAGTTCAGGCGGACATAACTGCCATTTGGACGCGTTTTCAGCTCCATAATCCTCGGAACGGACTCGCATCAAACACGGGATAAGCGTCCTTCCGACATATTCAAGTTTCGGAGAGCGGTCCACTGGTGTTGGATTCGAAGCCGTTTGGGGCTTGGGGGAGTTGAAAACAAGTTGTGGGCGTGCCCTGCCCACCGGAACAGGTCTCCTGGGACCGCGGCGCGGTACCTGCTGCACGAGCCGGAAGGACCGCAGCCTCATCATCGCTCCGCCTCTCTCGCTCTCATGGGGCGTTCCAAAGGTGTGCGAGAGAGACAGAGCGAGACGAAGGACCGTTTCGGAATCATCTTGCAGTGGCCCCGGGGTGCGATTGGCTCCTGTGCAGTGCAGCGACTGACCAGTCAGAGCGTATTAGTCTCGGACCGAAGACAGCAGCAGAGCACCATGCCCGTTTCCTGCATAACGCCGCCCTGCTGCCCCGCGGCCCGGTCCTGTGTGTGTTGGTGTGTGTGTGTGTGTGTGTGTGTGTGTGTGTGTGTGTGTGTGTGCGGCACGTGCTGCGGCCACCTCGGGCCTCGGGCTAAATTAGGACGGCCATCTTGCGAAAACGAAAACGGATTGCAGTGCAGGAAAAGCAAAGCTCGAGCCGAGCCCGAGCCGAGCCTGAGCCGAGCCAGGGAGATGATCCCGCATTATGCAGTGATGCCTGAAATGCCCGTGTGGCGTGCTCCCAGGGCCCTCCGGGGCCGCGAGGAAGTGTGTGTGTGTGTGTGTGTGTGCGCGCGTGTGTGTGCTCTGGCGTGCGTGTGTGGGTAATCTAATTCCCGACGGTGATTTGAGCCAACACAATCTACCGCCGCACGGTTTCCTCGGTTTCGCCGCCGTGCCGCCGCTCTCTTCGGCCCAGTGCCTCTGCGCCGCTCTGCGCGCTTCGCGCCCGTGCGCGTGTTGGACGATGCCCAGGCTTGTCGCCGTGCGCCAAAGCGCGGCCGTGTCTCCGCTTCCGAGTGGCTGGGTGGCGCTTGGTGGCGCGCGTGCGCGGAAAGCAAGGCAGCGCTCGCTCTGTCTCTCTCGCACCTGTACGGAACGCGCCCTGAGCGCGAGAGAGACAGAGGGCAGGGACACGGGTCGAGCACGTAAACGGGGAATCCGTCCCGACAGCCGGACACGACACTGTACTTGACATGGGAGTTGTTGGAAGAAACGCTCGCACGTCCGGCGGCCGGGGGCCGGGGGCCGGGGGCAGTCCGCGCCAAGAGTTTTGGCTCCGGGCCGCGCGGGCCGCGCCCCGAGGGGACGTTACGTCGTCACGGGGCGCTTCTAGACTTCCAGGACGCCGCGAGGTACCGCGAGGAGGGTGCCTCTGGCGATCCTCGGGGCCTTCGAGTGGCTCAGGTCGCCTGCGGGGTCGTCTTCGCAGCACCCAGCTGGAGAGCGGTATGGCTGCCGTGCCTGCCCTGCCTGCTCCAGGATGCATTCACGCGGCCTCCTGACTCCCAGTGCGCGCGCCGCGCTTCCCCCAGGATGCTGGCCGGCGGGTCAGCGCGGTCCGCGGTGGGTCGGCATGCGCACGGCCAGCCCGGCACTTCCAGGTTGCGCGTCCCGGCCATCGAGTCCACCAGGCTGTTGCATCACTCACTGGGGCAGCGGGCCGGCCGGCCGGGTGTCCCGGAGGACTGCATCCATTACCTCGTTCTCACGGCCAGGCCGGCCAGGCCGCCGAGATGACATTGTTGGGCGACGCGTTCGACGCGGAGGGCTGCGGCGCCGGCATTACGTCACCCGCGTGGCCGTGGCGACGTGGCATGGCCGCTGCCGTGGACTGGTCCGGTTTAAGGACGGTCAGCGTGTAGCGCCACGTCCGCCGTGGAAAAAGTAAATGGTGCCGGGCGTAAAAAAGTCGGTGAGGCTCTTGGGTCGGGTGTTGCCGGTCTTGTCCGGCGGTGCCGTGCAGGCCGCAGGGTGCTCGTTGCTGGATTTATTGCACCAGCCCCCAGCCCCGCTCCGCTCCGGCTCGGATTCCCCCGCACAGCCGGACGGCCGGACGCCGTCGCAGGCTCCGCTGGCTCCGTGTCGCCGCCGGCCTCTCCGCCGCCTCCTCGGGCCCGGCGGTCCGGCGGTCCGGCGACTGGCCGCCGCTTCCGTCACAGAGGGACTTCCCTTGTCGGTTTCCGGTCGTGTTCGTGGTCCAGAGCTCGGCCAGCTCGGCCAGCACGGCGCGCAGCGCAGAGCGTCCTCCCCACACGCCGTGGTCCTGGACCGCGTCCTGGACCGTCTGGACGCGGTCCCTCTCACCTTGTCATCGGAAGAGAAGGGACGGTGCGGTACGCGACGCCCCGATGGCAATCTCACTGCTGCTGGGAATGAATGGTCGACCCCGCCAGGCTGACTCCGAACAGTCTCCCTCCTCTCGCACTTCTGGAAGTGCGTCAGGGTGCGAGCGAGACGGCACGATTCGGCAGCGTGTCGTGTCGCGGGGGCGCCGCGTCCTCCCCTTGTCGCGCCGTCCGCGTCACCGCGTCACCGCGTCATGTCGCGGCGGCGTCGTTGCCGACCTGCCGTGGCACTTTCTAGCAGACTTTATGTGGACAGGCAAGGCAAACACTTCGCTCAGGCCGCTCGGACGCCAGCACCGCCACTGTGACTGACAACCTGACATGCAGTGATGCTCGCGCGCACTCACGCGTGTCCGTCTGTCCGTCCGTTCGTCCGCTCGCGGCGGGCAGATGCGCGGACAGACAGGCAGACAGACAGTCGGAGAGCACGTGCGGTTATGCGGTTACCGCTCGCCAGGGCGCAGCGCAGTGCAGTGCAGTGCGGTTAGGAACGTCGGGAGCGCCGCGAACCGCGGGCGGCATGTGCGTAGTGCGGCAGTGCGTAGAGCGGCAACGTGACGCGCCGGGGACAAGGAGGCCCCTTCTAACAACCTCTACCGATTTGCAGCGATTTATTGCCACCAGTCCGACACCCGCGTGGGCCTGCAGAGCGATTCCGCAACGCTCCGTCTCTCTCTCCCGCCCCGCGAGTGTGAGAGGGAGAGAGACAGAGCGACAGGGTGCGAGGAGGTGGCTCGGCGCGCGCCGCTCGCGCCGCTCTCCGTTACGTGAGTGTCGTCGTCGTCCTTCCTGTCGTGCGTCTGGTCTGGATCCTCGCCGCGCGGCGCCCGCCAGCTGACTGCCTCTCTCTCTCTCTCTCGCACTGCCGGGACGCCCCACCACGCCCCGCGAGTGCGAAAGAGAGAGACCTCCCTCTCTCGGAGCTGCATGCTGGCCTCGGCCGCCGGGACTTCCTCGGCGGAACGGAACAAGAATGCGCAACCCGGACAAGCAGTGTCGCACGGAGCCCCCCGCTGGCCGGCGGGCCCTTGGCCCTAGGCTCGCCGCGGCCCGTCGGCCCTTCCAGGCCCAGCAGGCATGCGGGCACAAAGGGCTCCTCGGGTGGCCTAAGCAGCCTAAGCATGTAGCCGACGCGGCCCTCACGTCGGGGACCCTCGAGCAACAGTCGCGGACGAGTCCGCCGGCCAAAACACACTCCCGGAAAAAAAAACAACAGCAGTCTAAACCCCTGCCCCGCCCCCGCGACTTGGTCCGCGCTCCCGATGACTCACTACGCCCACAAAAGGGCGACCGAGGCACAATAAGGAGGATTACCGGACTAGCGCCGCTAGCGCCGCCAGCGCTGCTGGCGGCAGCTTTACATTTTCTATCGAATTCGCTCATTGACAGCTTTTGTGCCGCCGGGGGCGACGAGTGCTTCGACTATGAATATGAATCCCTTGTCAACTGCAGGCCAGGCTGATTGTGCGTGCGTGTGTGTGTGTGTCGGTGTGCGAGAGGTATGTGTGTATGTGTGTGTGCTTGTGGGGGTAGACTGCGACCGCACTTAGCCCCGCTGTGTTCGTTTCATTAGGCTCCTCCCTCGCGACTGCAAGGTTGGCTGCTCGTTTGGAAATAGGCGGCAGCGAGTCATGGTGGCTTATGAGGAGTGAAAGCTTAATCCAAGCTGCCTCGCTCTTTGTCACGCTGATGCCCCCCCTCCCCCACACTGTCCAGTGGCCAGCTCATCTCCAGGGGCACACCCAGAGGTGCTACTGCTCGGATGCAAAGGCATGGAGTGCGGTTGCTTTGACAGCACCGACCGCACTGCGGCGCGCTGCGCCGCACGGACGGCAACCTGAAGTCGGCTTCCGAGCCGCGCTGCCGGTGCTCTCTCTCGCACCTCCACGGGGCGGCCTGTGAGTGCGAGGGAGACGACAGCATGCTGGCGGGTGAGGCTGGAATCCCGCTGGAATCCCGCACGCTGGAGACTCCAGTGGCGAGGGCAGCCTCCGCCGGCTTTCCGCGCAGGGTTCGCGTTTGGGCCCACTCCAGGGCTTGTTGGCGGACCGTCCATTTCATTACTCTTGTATTTACAACCCGCGCCCCCGCTCGCTAAAAAAGGGGAGGAAAAAAATCCGTAAAGCGGGGGACTCCCTCCCGCCCTCCGTTCGCCCGCCCCTCTCGCATAGTAGGGCCGGGGTGGGCAACAGCGGCGGCAACTTACCTGCGCGGCGGCAAAATGGAGGCTGGATGTTCCCGCGCCGCACGCCGCGCCGCGCCACGCCACGCCACTTTCGCCGAGCGCGCTGCAGCAGGTGGCGTTCGCGCATAATGCCGTACGTGTCAGGCTGGCCAACAGGCCAACAGGCCGGCCGACAAGCTGGCCCACCCCTCAGGCTGGCCCACAGGCTGGCCCTCAGGCTGGCCCACAGGCTGGCCCACAGGCTGGCCCACAGGCTGGCCAGGGCGGCGGGACCGTAAAATAAAGAAAACGGAAACGAAATCTGGCGGCTCCTTACCGGCTGGCCGGGCTGGCCGGAGGCGCCGCTCCGCACCCTGCCGTGGCCTGCCCGTCGCCAATGTGCCATAACCTGTCCGCGCGGTGAAATGCGAAATGGAGTTGTTGTTCGCGCCGCACGGTCCGCACGGCACAGCGGGGCGCGGCGCCACAGTCCCACGGGGACTCGGTTTGGTCGCTGCCACTGGCTGCGAACCCAGTCCGAGAAACTTGGGCCGAAACGTGCCGCTCGGAAGGAGTGGTCCCGTCGCTCCGTCTCTCTCGCACCCGCACGGGCCGCCCCGTGAGTGCAGCGGAGACAGAGCGACTCCGGCAGCCCGCTGCGAGCGCCTGCCGGGAGCCACGCGACACACGCACACGCCTGCTCGACGGGACTGCCGACCCCCCGGGCGCTCCGCGCTCCGCTCCACCAAGCTCCTCACTAACCGCTGCCGTGTTTCTGCCTCCCTGCCCGCAGGCCCACCCCAAGTACTCGTTCAACTACGGCGTCAAGGACCCCCACACCGGGGACATCAAGAACCAGTGGGAGACCCGGGACGGCGACGTGGTCAAGGGCGAGTACTCGCTGGTGGAGGCCGACGGCTCGGTGCGCACCGTCAGCTACACGGCCGACCACCACAACGGCTTCAACGCCGTGGTCAAGCGCACCGGGCCCTCCTACCACCCCGTCGCGCACAAGCAGTACCACCACGAGGAGCCCAGCCACGCCCACTACGTAAGCGACGTTCGGGTTCAACGGGCAGGTGTGACTTTTGCCTTGGAATGACGTTGTTGTCTCTGACTTCCCTCAGGTGAGCGTCCCCGCCAAGCCCAGCTACTACTCCTCGTACCCGGCGCTGGCCTCCTACTCCGGCGACCACTACTCCGACGACGCGGCCTCCTCCGCCTCCTCCCGCAGCGAGGCCGCCGCGCACGCCGCGCCGCGCTCCGCCGCCCCGCTGAGCCCCGCGCCCGCCGCCGCCTCCCTCTACTACAACATCCTGGCCCAGATGCAGCACCTCTCCTCGCCGAAGAGGAAGCGCGTCGCCGCCGTGGCCGCGCAGCAGTGACCCCGTCAGGGCGATAGGCAATAGGGTGGCGCTACCCCGCGCCACCGCCCGCTCGCGTCGATACCCCCGGCCCGACTTCCCTGATGCGCCACTGCCCGGCGCGTTGAACCAAAGATCCTAGCCTGCAACACGGTCCAGTCCGCCTCGGACGCCGTGCCGGCGCTACACTGGCAGGGGGCGTTCGGCGAGACGGCCTTGTACAATACCTTCACTATTTATTTGTTGAGATAAGTGACTGCTCTATGTGAGGCGTGCAAAATCCTACAAAACGCAAAAAAAGCCGCTTGTCATTTTCTGCAGCGCCTTTTTTCCGAGCTGTTTTCCAAACCCTGTCTTTAGTGTGATATAAAAGGGGTCGGCTTGGCCGGCTGTTGTTGCTTGTTTGTTTTGTTGTTATGTTTGAATAAAGACTATTTTTTACTATTTTGTTAATCCGACGCTGCACCTTGCTCGCTTTCCTGGGAAAATCATCACCGCACACGGCCTAATTACTTTTCCGGGCCGCGCACGCCATCGAAACGCGAAATTAAGTTTTTGTTCCCCTTTTGTCAGAAAGTAAACAAAGCCCCCTCCCCGTCCCGGCGTGGCCCGGCCTGGCCCGGCCTGGTCCCGGAAAGGGCGCAGGGCCGTGGGCACACCGTGGCCACACCGTGGGCACACCGTGGCGGCGCGCTGCGACGCGTCCTCTGTGACAAGTATAAGACGGTGGTGCGGCGGGGCGCCGCGCGCACTCTACTGCCGCGCCACTGCCAGCGAGCCGCCCGCACGCACGCCATGGATTACCTGCAGGTGAGAGGCACGGCCAAAACACTCGCACGGCCTTTAAACTACATCCATTATCAGAATTTCGAAAAAAAAAGAAGAGGAACTTTTGACGCGAATTTCGACCTGGCTCTCCAAAAGACAGGAGATCATTTCGTGTCAGAACCACTTCTATTTGACGTCAAATTTGACGCGAAACGCGTCAAACGACCAGAACAGCCCGCGTTTCATCGAACTGTGTTGGCACAGCTCCGGGCAGCTGTGTTTCGTCCGCATCCAATCTGTTGAAACGTTTCGACACTGGTTTTGACACTCCAGACTGGGTCTGGCGGTGACATGAATGAACTGAATTTTGAAATTTGCCTCAAGAATGGAGTGGGATCCGGAAACGATGTAGGCGTCACGCGATTATAAAATGCACGAATTAACTTGGTTCCACTGCAGGGCCACTGGCGCTGCTGTCAACTGGCTGGCAGGCAGTCCCGGGCGGTGGGACAACACACACAAGTTAGCCGGGAACCGTGGGCAACACACCAGGTGGTGCGGCATTCCGCGAAGGCGGGGCGTCAAAACCTACCGGAGTCCATTTCGAGTTCACGTGAGCTCATTTGCAACTTTGTGCGTCCGTTTTCCTTCGTGGAAATAAGAGCGAGCTGGTCGGTGACGAATGCGCGATGCACGGGGGCAGCGTACGGCAGCGTATCAGCGACCCTTCTCACGCCACTGTATTTATGTCACTTCATATTTTATCTAATTTGTCCGCGGCGACGGGCCGTGGCGCCATGGCCGAGGCCATGGCCGTCCCGTCAGCTCGTAGACTCCGGCATCCTTATCGTGACAACGGCAGAGACAGCGCGGAGCGCGGAGCCTCGCAGCCTCGCGCCGTTCCGAACAGTCCGCGCGTCGCTCTGTCTCCCTCGCACCCCAACGGGGCGCGCCGCGAGTGCGACAAAGACGGAGCGACGCGGCGGAATCAGTCCGCAGCAGGTCGCGGTTTGCGCGGGACAAACATGTCCCGGCCGTTTTTCAGCGTTATATACATTGTCCCACGCGACGGCACGGTCAGTGTAAAGCGGGGCGCGGACCTTTCTTTTTGCACAAACGACCGCAAAAGCACGCGCACGCCTCGCGCACGCGGAGCACGCAGACACGCCACGCCTGGCCGCGCCGCGCCACGCGTACCAGTGACATCACAACAACAGCGACAACAACAGCAAGCGCGTAACTAACAATAGGATGAGCTGACCGCAACAGCACCTGCTGGCCGAAAGCCGCCGTAGCCGGGGAGGGGGGGGGGGGGGGGTCGCGAGCCCGGCGCGCAGTTCGCCTCCAAGCCGCAGAGTTTCACTCCAGCCGCACCCCGCCAAGGGCAGCCGAGGGCCTGCACTGCAAGGCCTGCAAGGACCCGAAGGGCTCGGACCGACCGGCCGCACGCCGACCCCTCTGCCGCCTCGAACTCAAATGGCGACCAGTCACGCCGTCTCTCTCTCTCCCCCGAGACGCCCTGTGGCAGCGGTTCTCAACCTTTTTCGGCTCGCGACCCCAAATTTGTAGCCAAACATTTCGACCCACAGGAAAAATCGTGTTTTCGGCCGACTTTAAGCAGCCCCTGCATCCGACCCGAGGCGGGCCTTCGTCCTTTTTCAACGGGCATTTGCTCTTTAGACCTTCTTTTAGCATGCCTTTGTTACGGAGAGTGATTATCTGCCTTAGTTTGGGAGCAGTATTGGCTCAAAATTGATGAAAACGGTCAAAAATTCCTTTAAAGTCGGTTTTGCTCAACTTTGAGCCAATACTGCTCCCAAACTAAGGCAGATAATCGCACTCCGTAACAAAGGCATGCTAAAGGAAGGTCCAAAGATGAAATGCCCGTTGAAAGAGAACGAAATACCGCCTCGGATCAGACGCAGTGGCTGCTTAAAGTCGGCCAAAAACACGATTTTTCAAAGGCATTTTTGACCGTTTTGGTCAACTTTGAGCCAATACTGCACCCAAACTAAGGCGGATAATCGCACTCCGTAACAAAGGCATGCTAAAGGAAGGTCCAAAGACGAAATGCCCGTTGAGAAAGTACGAAGGCCCGCCTCGGATCGGACGCAGTGGCAGCTTAAAGTCGGCCCAAAACACCGCTTTTTTGCCTATACATCAGGCGATTGATAATGATTGAAAAGGGAGGGGGGCTGTGCCACTGGCGCCATCCGTCGTTTTCCGCATGCAGCGTTCGGGCCGGTCCATCGCTGTCCTGGCCACTTCCTCCGGAGCTCCAGGACGTCCAGGGCTGGCTGCTCGCCACGCGCCTCGCGCTGCTTGTAGTACCGCCACTGCCGCCTTGCCGCCTTGCCGCGCGACGCAACGCGACGCAACTCCACCATTCTTCTCATCGTTACGCGTGCAGGCCGTGCAGGCCGTGCGGGCTGCAGACGTGACCCGCAACGAGACCGGCCGGCGTGTGGGAGAGGAAGGGAGACAGGAATACCGCGATGAAAGTGATTAGAGGCGAGGGAGTCGTCGACGCCGACAGCGAACATGCCGGGCCGCCGCGCCGCGCCGCCGGCACACGAGCGCTGATTCCTCCGCGAGCACTGCGAGTGCACTGCGAGTGTGAGTGAGTGGGAGAGCGGTTCACACAATGGCGGGACCGTTCGCCGCCGATGCGATGATGGCCGCGAGGCGCCGCGGGGACTAGACGCGACACGCTCACGACCCTTTCTTCTCCACGGCCAGGAGCAGGTCCTGTGCTGCGCCGTGCTGGCCTTGGTCGCCGCCGCCAGCGCCACCAACGTCACGACCACGGCCTCCACCACCACGGCGGCCGCCAGCGCCGCGGACGCCGCCACCACTACAACCACGGCCGCCACAACCACCACGACAGCCGGCAGTAAGCACGTCGCGCCTGCGGACGCGGACACGGCGGAGTCCAAGCCGGTGCCGTCGAGGTGGAGCAGGAGCAGCAGGCAGGGCGTCCTGGGTGGCGACCCCGGCCGCGCCGCCGGCGAACAGGTCAGGACAGCCAGGACAGGACCTCCTCACCCGTCTGCAAAAGAACACATGGTACAAAGGACGGAGTCATATGAGCCACTCGCTTTAAATTTGGTTGCAGGCGGAGGACAACGACGACAGCGAGCCCTACTCGTTCGACTACGCCGTCCGCGACCCCAGCACGGGCGACACCAAGAGCCAGTGGGAGTCGCGCGTCAACGGCGTGGTGCGCGGCATGTACTCGCTGGTGCAGGCGGACGGGTCGCTGCGCTCCGTCACCTACACTGCGGACAACCTCAACGGCTTCCGCGCCACTGTCAAGGTGGGTGCACTGTGCACTGACTTTTAACGCCGAGTTGAACAGTAACTGTCACATTGTCCATCCAGGTCGACACGCCTGGCTTGCCGCAGTCGCCGACGGCCAACCGCGGCGTGCCGACGAGCAGCGTGTCCAGCAGCGCCTCCAGCGCCACCTTGGCGTCGTCCAACCCGCTGTTCCAGTTCCCTCCCCTGGGGACGGCGGCCGTCCAGTTCCCGACGGCGGCCGGCGCCGCGTCGACGCCCGTTTCCGCCAACGGCGCCACGCGGGGCCAGGGGTCGTCGTCGGCGGCCTCGGTCGCGGCCCCGTCGTCGTCCTCCTCCGGCGTCATCAAGCCCTCCGCCCTGCTGTCCGACGCCGTGGGGACGACGGCGGCCTTCCACGGCACGCCGCCCGGCGACGGCGACTCTGGTGACGCGGACAGCCCGTGGAGAGTGATCCTCGGCGGCGCGGCACCGGAGTCGGCACGCCCGTCCGCGGTGGGCGGAGGCGCCTCGGGGCAGACCACCAGCCTGTTCCCGCCGCAGGGCAGCCCGCCGGCCTGGCTGCAGAACGCGGTGAGGCCCTCCGTCTTATCGACACCCCGAGGAGACACCTGCGGACAATCACCGCCTTTATCCTTTATCACGCGTACATTGACACACGGCGTGACGTGGGCTTGCAGGTGGACGACGACGCGGGCCTCGGCAACCTCCACCCCCCCGTGCGGCTGCCCCTGGAGCACGAGGCCGGCGAGGGCGGCCCCGGGTCGGCGTCCGACTCCGACGGGATCCTCGCTCAGCACTACCTGTTCGCCGACCCCGGCGAGGGTGACGACGGCGGGCACGGCCAGGGCCTGGACTTCGGCGGGGACGTCGGCCAGGACCTCGGACACAGCCTCGAGCACGCGGGGCCGCCGCCCATGCGGCTGCTGATGAGGAGGCAGCGCGCGCGCAAGCGGCACGTCAAGTACCTAAAGCAGCACCCCGGCCTGGCGGCCAAGCCCAGACAGCCCGCCGCGCCGCGGTGGCTGTGGGTCATGAAAACTAGGCAATAAACCATAATTAAAACTGACTGAAAATGAAGTGAATTATTTTCCCCTCCCCTTACGATGAGTTCCGGTCCAGACCCCAGGGCAGACTGGGGCACGCTCTATCGGCAGCCTGGTCTATCCAAACTGACTGCGATCTCCAATCAAACTGCAATAAAAACTGGGGGGCTTATCTCCGCGCCGCCGGAACCTCGGCGACGAGCAACTGCAACAGAGTGGCGGTGGCAGCGTAGCGCTGTCATTGACGAGTGTAGTGGGCAGGTGGCACAATCTTATCGAGTTTGGTGGGACCGTCCGTGGCAGCGCGTCGCGCCGCTCCTCGTCCTAGACGGTGGTCAGGAGCGCGAGCTGACGGAGCCCCGCGACCACCCGCGACGATCATGGCGTCCCCGACGGCCATCCTGGGCGCCGCCATCATCCTCTGCACGCTCACGGTAAGGACGACTTTCCGAAACGGCGGCTTTACTCTGTTTTCCGTTAAAAAAGAAATTGCTGCTATAAAGGCGGCGCACGGCCTCCGGTCTTGCATGCAAAATTATGATCGCCGGTAACGGGGTTTGAACCCGTCACCTGGGTGCTCAAGACAGGCCTCGCTTGTCCCCGCAGGCGCGGGTGACTGCCGACACGGGCAAGTGCGTCTGGTATGACGAGTGCAACGTGAACGAGAAGGGCTTCAAGCAGAACTGCGTGTACTCCGGCCCGCCAAAGAAAATGACCAGCGCCGCCGGCATAGAACGACTTCGAGCGGACTGTCCGAACTTGTTCGATGAAAATGGCGGTAAGCGCCAAAATGTTTCCTTTCCCGTGGCACAGTCCTTTTTTTCGGTTTTGACTGTTTGCGGCCCTGCCCTGTCCAGACGCCTACGTGTGCTGCAGCGAGGCGCAGGTCGAGACGATGCACGCCAACCTCCTGAAGGCGGCGGGCATCTACAGCCGCTGCCCGTCCTGCTTCCGAAACTTCTTCAACATCTTCTGCGAGATGACGTGCTCGCCGACCCAGTCGGAGTTCCTGGAGCCCGTGCAGACCAAAACAAACGCGGACGGTGGGCTGAGCTACCACACTGCCACTTTACTACGGCCTCGGCAAACGATTTGGGTGAAAGTGACTTTGCAATTCGACAGGGAACAAGTACGTCACTGAACTGAATTTCTACACGACCCAGGACAGCATGGACAACGTGTTCGACTCGTGCAAGGGCGTCATCATGCCCCAGAGCGGCAAGTACGCCACGGACATCGCCTGCGGCGCGTACGACGCCTCGACCTGCACCACCGAGAGGTGAGACGAGTCGCCATGGCTGCAAGCGGTCTTTTCTTTACTGTGCGCAGCGCACTCTCTTTGTCGCCTGTCACTCCGCTGCAAGCGTTTATCGGCGAACACCTGCGCTCGCCACTAATCCACTGGCTCGAGTGTCGTTTTTTTCCTTGCGCGCTGTGACTCACGCTGAGGGCCCTCCTCTTGAAACATCGTTATGAAGTGCCAGCAGCGTCTGGAATTCACCCTCCACTCTCTTTCGCAGGTGGTTCAAATACATGGGCGAGGACAACCCGTTCTCCCCGTTCGTCATCAAGTTCCTGACGACGCGCGGCACTTTCGACGACATGTCCAACAGGGTCATCCCCACGGTCCGCTGCAACGAGAGTGCTGATGTGAGTCGTGGGTTCAAACACCGGAACGGCGCGGCGTTTCGGCCTCCCCCCGCCCCTCCTCGATACTTTCTTTCCTCTTCCGGCACTACTCCGTGGCGCGAGAGACTTTGGCGGTCGCTGGAGCCGCCTGGAGACGCCTGGAGGAAGGCGGCCCGAAGACGCGCACCTGTCTCTGCGGTCGCGGGGTATTGACGCCGCTCTCCTCTTTGCGGCAGGCGTCCTCCGAGCCCTGCTCCTGCGTGGACTGCCCCATCAGCTGCCCCAGCGACGACGCCTCCGTGTTCAAGCCGCGCAAGTCCATCTTCATCGACGTCCTCGGCATCGACATCTTCGTCTTCAGCGCCGTGCTGGGCTACCTCGTGATCCTGGTGGGGACTGCGGTGTTCGTGCGCTTGAAGATCCTCCGCAGGCGGAAGCAGCAATGTGGGTAACCGTCGATACCCCGCGTGGAACTGTTTGTTTTGGGGTGATCAACGGGAACTGTTTTCCGGTGCAGCGGAGGCCGCGGCGGACGCCTACTTCATCCCCGACCCCCCGGTCCAGAACATGAAGCCGAGCCGGCTGGAGCAGTGGGGCTACAAGTGGGAGGTCATGGTGGAGAACGGATTCAGAAGACTCGGATTTGGTGAGTTCGCCTTCGGACAAGTTCCGACGCAAACGACTGGCGGTGGTCAAAACGGTGTCTGCCTCCAGTGTGCGCCTCCTACCCGGTCGTCGTGTTCTTCGTGGCGTCCTGGCTGCTGGCCGTGCTCATCTACCAGGCCGGCAACATCGAGCTCGTGTCCAACCCGGTGCAGCTGTGGGCGTCGCCCACGTCGCAGAGCAGAAAGGAGAAGGACTACTTCGACGCACACTTCGGCCCGTTCTACCGGCCGGCGCAGATCTTCATCAAGGCGGTCAACCTCCCCGAGGTAAAGTTTTCTCTAATTACTCTCCATTGGGTTTTGGAAAGATTCTATACCTACTGAGGGGTACACAAATGATTTTTGTTTCAAAATTTCCCCACATTTTCGACCATTTGCAGATCACCCACGAGATGCCCCAAGGGAATGTCTCCTTCGGCCCGGTGTTCAGTAAGGACTTCCTTCTTCAAGTGCGGGAGCTGCAAATGGCGATCCAGGACGTACGTACTCACAGTGTGCTTCCCCTTCAAACCGGATTTCGAGCGTCGAGTTCGTCGAGTTCCGCGGAGTTTTGTTTCACGACCTGACAGTCCCGTCCGCCCTGGTCCGCCCCCGCAGCTCGGCAGGGAGGAGGGCCTGCCCTTGGAGCAGGTCTGCTTCGCGCCGCTGCAGAACGACTTCACGGGCCCCGTCACCGTGGACAAGTGCACCATCCAGACGATCTGGGGCTACTTCCAAAACTCGCTCGAGAAATTCAACAAAGAGGGCGAGAAGAACGGGCTGAAAACCAACTACCTGAACGTGATCTACGACTGCCTGCAGTGAGTACACCGCGGAAAGACTCGCGGCGGATAGTTTGGCGGGGCGCGCGATAACGCCCGCATGCCGCTGGTTTGACTGTCTCTCTCGCACTCTTTCGGAAGGCCCCACGAGTGCGAGAGAGACCTCCCTGCGAATCAGCCCGTTGGAGCACCGCCCTGGCCGCAACTTTCTCGGCCCGGGCGCGCGATGGGCTGCCTACCGCCACGGCGCTGCCTCGGCGCCCCGTTCGCATAGTGATGCCGTAGCCGTGGCCACTGGCAAACGAAACCAAATGGAAACTTCTGGGCGTGGCGGTGGCGTGGCGTGTCAGCGCGCTCCATGTTTTCCATCCGGCCAGGAATCTGACCCCAGTACAGTCCGAGGGCGAAATGGGCGAAATGCAAAATGCATGCTTCCTGCCCTTCTCAGGAACTCGTACGACCCGTCGTGCCTGGCGCCCTACGGCGGCCCCGCCGAGAACCTGCTCGTCGTCGGCGGCTTCCTGGACGACGCCAACAAGACCATGGTGCAGTCCAACGCGCTCGTGATGAACTTCATCCTCAACAACCACGTCAAGGAGGAGGACAACAAGCCCGCCATGGAGTGGGAGCAGAAGTGAGTTCGAAACGGGAAATCTGTGCGGTGACGTCACCGACATGTTACGCTCGAAAAGATTGTTTCAATACAGAAAGCGAATTCCGACTAAAACACCGCGTTTATTTCAGGTTGATCGACTTCCTCCAGGACTGGGAGAAGACGAAGAAGCCCGACTACATGGACATCGCCTTCATGGTGGAGCGGTCCATCCAGGACGAGATACAGAGGGTGTCCGTGACCTCTACCGGCACCATCCTCATCTCCTACGGGTGCATGTTCTTGTACGTGGCCCTCGCCTTGGGACGCATCACCACCTGGAAAAGGCTCTTGGTGAGGAAGGAGCTATACATTTTGATACTGAAACGAGGCAGTGTAGTTGTGAGACTAGCAGTTCGGTTTCCATCACGCAGGTGGACAGCAAGATCATCGTGGCGGTGTGTGGCGTCGCCTCCGTGGGGCTGTCGGTGCTGGCCGCCATGGGCTGGTTCGCCTACCTCAAGTACCCCGCCATCCTGCTCACCCTGGAGGTAAGAAAGTGGTACCAGGTGCTCCGTTCCCTCATTCGCGACGGCACTCGCTCACTCTTTGCGCTTGCAGGCGGTGCCGTTCCTGGTGCTGGCCGTGGGCGTGGACAACCTGTTCATCGTGGTGGGCTGGCACGAGCGGCTGCTGGACCTGGACAACAACCCCAAGGCCAAGCCCAGCGTGGCCAGGGTGGCCGCCACACTCGGCCACGCCGGGCCGTCCATGCTGCTGTCCACGCTGGCCGAGGAGGGCTGCTTCCTGATTGGCTCCCTGTCCGATATGCCGGCCGTCAAGTCGTTCGCGCTGCTGTCCGCCGTGGCGCTGCTCATCAACTTCGTGCTGCAGGTCACGGTGCTGGTGGCCGTGCTGGCGCTGCACGAGCGACGCCTGCTGTCCGGCCGCCTGGACGTGCTGTGCTGCATGACCGTCGAGGCCGCGCCGCCGGGCAAGAGCGGCCGCTTCGTGGAGCGCCTGTTCCAGTCCAAGCTGGCCCCCTTCCTGATGCGGCGCTGGGTGCGCGTCGCCGTGCCACTAGTGTTCATCGGGTTGGTGTTCGCCACCCTGCCCTGCTTGCCACGCGAGAACATCGGCCTGGACCAGTCGCTCGCCATGACCAAGGACTCGTACGTCTTCAAGTACTTCCAGGTAGGTCCGAACAAAGCGAACGCGGCGCCGCCGGGATTCGAACCCACTGACCGGCCGACCGGCCTGTTCCAGTTCTTGAAGGAGGTGCTCTCGATCGGGCCGCCCGTGTACTTCGTTGTGACGAAGGGCCTCAACTACACCATTCCCGAGCACCAGAACCTCATCTGCGGAGGCATAGGTTGCCGCTCGGACTCCCTAGCCACGGCGATCACCGCCGCGTCCAAGACCCCCGAGTGGTGAGTAGCGCGGCGCGTACGTAGTGCGGCGAAGGGGCCCTTTAAAACCACTTTCTCGAAATCGGCCTCCGCAGGTCGCACATCGCCAGGCCGGCGTCATCGTGGATAGACGACCTCTTCGACTGGACGACGCTTGAAACTTGCTGCAAAGTGTTCGCCAACAATGGCTCATTCTGCCCGCATGACCGTAAGTTTTTGGCCCGATTGCTATTAATAACTGTCAGTCTGGAGGGCGGCGTGACGGAGTGGCGTGACGATGACGGCTCGGACCGACAGGCAAGAGCCCCGTGTGCAACAGCTGCCAGGTCGCCGTCGATGGCGCCAACAAGAGGCCTTCCGCCGCCGCCATCCGGAAGTTCCTGCCAGGCTTCCTCATGGACATCCCGGACACGGACTGCGCCAAGGGTGGCGTGGCGTCCTACGCCTCGGTGAGCCTAAGCTCTCCTTTGTTAGTCGTCTTATCCCCCTCCCCCGGTCCATCACGAAGGAAATGCGCAGGGCGTCAACTACGTCCTGGGCGACTCGGGGATGTCGGAGGTCGGCGACTCGTACTTCATGGGCTACCACACGCGCGTGCGCACCTCCCCGGACTACTATGAAGGCATCCGGGCGGCGCGCAAGATCACGGACGCCATGGAGAAGAAGATCAACTCGGAGCTGCAGCTGGAGGAGCACGTCAGGGTGTTCCCGTACAGGTACTGCGAAAAACGTACATTTTATTCTTTTTTTGGCGGTCTTTGCTGCAGCTAACGGCTTTTACGCGTTTCTCCCCCTCCAGCGTGTTCTACGTGTACTACGAGCAGTACCTGGCCATCGTGTGGACCATGACGGGGTCGCTGATCCAGTCCCTGTTGCTGCTCTTCTTCATTATGACCCTCCTGAACGGCTTCGACCTGGTGGCCTCCTCCATCGTCGGCGGCATCGTCGTCGCCATCCTGCTGGAGATGGTGGCCGTCATGTACCTGTGGGACGTCGAGCTGAACGCCCTGTCCTCCGTCAACCTGGTCGTGGCCATGGGCATCGCCGTCGAGTTCAACTCGCACGTCATGCACGCCTTCCAGAAGTCCACGGCGCCGACGCGCGTCGCCCGCGCCCAGGAGGCCCTCGTGGAAACGGGCAGCTCGGTACGGCGTCTGCGCGCGTCTACGCCACTCAAAAACCAGCTTCGTCTTTTAAAAATATTTACAGCGATTCTGTCGGTGAGCCTGAATCGTCCTACTAATGAAAACGGTCCGTCACAGATCTTCTCCGGCATTTTCCTCACCAAGTTCTCTGGGATCCTGGTCCTCGCCTTCGCCCCGGTGCAGGTCATGCAGGTCTACTACTTCAGGATGTACCTCATGATGGTCATCCTCGGTGCGCTGCACGGCCTCGTTCTCCTGCCAGTCGTTTTGAGCTTCATCGGTGAGTGCACCTTCAGGGAATCAGCGTCTGGATCACAAATTTCCAATCTGAAATGCCTCCGTTCCCTGCCCAGGCCCCAGAGTGAACCGCGCCCGACTGCAAGACTTGGCCAACAGACAACAGCGAGACGCGCTTCTCGACGGCAGCGAGGGCCCGTCCACTTCCGAAAGTTCCCGCAGCCAGTAGTTTTGTCATTTTCTCCTTAAAGAAAATTGTGATAGATGTTCTGCCTACCCTATTAAAATGACAGTGTAGATGCAGAATGAGAATGCTGTGATAATCCCGTAGGATACATGAGTAAAGAAATAAATAGTTTTGTAACAAAAAGGAAAATGGCCGTAATACCAGACATTGAGGAATGAACAGGAATGGGGTACATCGTTAAAGAAACACACCAGCAAAGTTTCGCAACGATATTTTTTATTAATTAAGAACCTTTTGATATCTCTTTGTACTCTCTGCTTACAATTACTTTTTATTAACAGATATCACCATAAACAACTTGCAATAAGGCTTTCTAACCCTGCTCCCCGGACGGCACAGCCGCCCGAGGGGAGGGAGGCGAGAAAACAGAGGAGGGGAGGGGGAGGGGAGGGGTTTCAAGCTGCGCTGCCACCGCGGACTTGGGGCTCAGGACCGGCGCGGGAGGGTGACCGGCGGGGCGAGGCGGGTCACCCGGCCCGGGCAGGTGTCGGTCCGCGGCGGCGGCCACCTTGCTGGGGCGGGGCGGGGGAGGCACTGCCTTGGCACTGCCTTGGCACTGCCTTGGCACTGCTTTGGCATTTGACACTGCCGCGGCATTTTAACGGTGCCTCGGCAGGGGCCGCGCAGCCCCGCGCGCTGACGGTGGGTTACCCTGTTTCTATGTTTTCAGTGGAGCTGGCCGCGCTCGCCGCGTGCTCTCGCCACCGGGTTAGTTTTTTTTTCTCTTTTTTTCCCGGAAAACCACCCTCACTGCGTCACTGCGAAGGCGCGGCCCCTGCCGGCGGGAAAGGCAAGGCGGGAACACTTATGTACATCACAAAACGTAACGCGTTAATACTGCTCACCGCTCTTTTGACTCAAATATATATAGAAAATATACTCGTAATTCTCATCTAAGGTTTTTTTTAAATAATTCTTTTATCCGTCCTTCGCAAGTGCTCGTCACGTAGCCAGCACCTTTTCGCTTAATGACCTAGGAATGGGTAGAGGAGGCCGACCCTTGAGGTGAGCCTAGCAACTCAGGGGCGGGCGGACCAAGGCAAGATAAAACTGCAAGAAAGGGACAGTCTTGTAGAAAACGAAGTTTGCCCTGAAAATAGACTTACACAGCACGTAGGTTTAACATTATGACTACATATTTTCAAAATGTGCACAGGAGCAACATATTATAAATATTTACACAGACTTTAACTCACTATACAGAACAATGATACGTACAATCGGGAATACAAGAGCTCAACGAAAACAAAATACAGGTATTTACATGTGAATCTATGTACATTTTGTGCAAACACTGTTCGAGACAACTCGAAAAATGAGAGAAATCAAGTATAAACATGGTAGAAACGTGACACAACCTAGAACTCGTATATACACTTCTCCTTGGGCGGCGACTAAACGTTAACTATGTACACAGAGACGGTTTGGTCTCAATCCATCCTTTGATCCAATCGAAACGTGGGCCCGGCGCGTACCTCGCACTATGAGGAACACCACTGCCGGCCCACCTGGTCTAAACTTATTCGAAACCCGGGTGGAAGGATCTGCAGTTTAAACTATATTGGAAAAATATAGATTTTTTGTAATGTTAAACTTAATTTTTAAATAATTTTTTTCATACTTTAAATTACTGTAATGTATTTTATAATTGCAGGTAAAGTGTAGTTCAACTACAGTTGAAGTGTAGTAAACTACAATTAAACTGCAAAAAAAGTACCAGTTATTTCGGACAACTATAGTTTTTCACCCAGGTTGCCCTAGTCTTCAGATCAGTTGACTATAGTTCAAAGTACAGTTTTACTGTAGTTTAGTTACACAGCCAGAGTTAGTTCAAAAGAGAAAACAATCTGCAGTTTTAAAATTTGGTTCAAAATTCAAAATTTTTAATTTTTGAACCCTGTTTTGAGGGGACTTTTCCTCCCTCTGACCCCTGAGATGATTGACTTTGTATTAATTGTGTGTTTTGATTGGATGTTGCCGGGAGTTGAACCTCGGACCCATGGCTTGTGAGGCAGAGGCCTTGACCACTGCACCACTGAGCTTCCTTGTGGATAGGGGCTTGGCTTCTCGACCACATGGAAAGGCCGGCTTTCCTCAGGAACTAGAGTTGAACTGCTAGAAAACTACAGTTTTACTGTAAGCCACTCTGTACTTTGAGTGAAATCCACTTGTCCAAAATGTAATTTATAATGAATCTGCCTCAGAAACCAAGACACAATGGAGTGATTTAATTCAGAGAGCCTTCAAGGTCTTAATTTTCAACGACTGGAGTCGTTACCTTTTCAACTTCTGAGACGCATTGCATTATAATGCTTTCTAGTTTTATTTGTGTTTGACATTTTATCATCCAGTCATAATGAATTTGATGCCACTTAGCTAGACCTTGTTTGGCGACAAGCTGGCTAAATTTTGTGGCTTGTTGATTTCCGCAATACTTTGTCACATGCTACCTGACCAATATGGAACATTATAAAATAAGCAAACAGATAACCAGATAGTATTTTAAGAATTGGTTACATCCAGCCATATAGGTTTTCATATGAAAGTTTAGTCGTGTCTTCTAAAAGTCTCCAACGTCAAGTATTTCAACGTAAACGTTTAAAAGAAATAACTGAAACTTCTAAGATATATTTCCTTTTCAATCCTTATATTATTTTAATCACTCAATGTAATTGTTTTTGTTTCTTCATATCAAGTTGTAGTGCTTGACATCTTAAACTATGCCTTAAGCAAAAAATTACTACAAATTGTAGTAAACATTCAACTAGTTTGTCATTGTGTAAAAAAGTATGAGCAGAAACTTTATTTCCTTTGTAGATCCTGCTGCAGATAGAAGTGTAGGCGAATCTTCAGTAGTGGACTATTAAAGTAGAGTAGACTTTAAAAACTTTTAACTTCACTTTGTAACTGCAGATAGTATTTTATACCTGGTCAACAAATAACAGTTCAGCTAGAAAGCAGTTTGCATACACAGCAAACTACAGATCCATAAGCAAACTGAAACTGGACTTATTCTGCACTTTGTTCTTACCAAAAACTGCAGTTCAGGAACTGTAGTTTTGGCACTACAGTTTAAACTGGAGTTTCACTACAGATCCTTCCACCCGGGAACAGAGAGCCATCCGCGGCTCTTCACCAAAGTCCTAGTAATTGGCACATACTTGATAATAAGCGTTTTCTTCTCCTTCTTGGGGCGGCCGGCTCCAGTCCCCGAGTCCCTCCGGCCGCCCCCACTGAGCAGCGCGAGGAGCGTCGCTGCATAGCAAGCCACCCGGTGGCTTTGGACGTACGGCGGGGAGGGAGATAGGGGGAGATATGTTATTGGGGAAAGGGTTCTGGGATGCGATCGGCAGACCGCGGAAGGGAAGAGGGGAGGGGGAGGGGATACGACCGAGGCCCGCTGCTGGAGGAAGACGCCTCAGGAGAAGCGGAGCGCTGGAGGCTGCCTGGAGTCGGGAGTGCGCACCGCTCTAGCGCGCTCTAGCGGCTCCAGGCAGAGCGCTCTCCGCCGCGCAGGGTTGCCAACTTCTCCAACTGAGCTCCATTTCCACAGCGATGTGTTTGGCGCACTGACGTCCCTGCAGCGCCCACCGCGCAGCATGCGGGTCGCAGAGGACGCTGCCGGGAAGACAAGTCTACGTCGCCTTCCCGGCAGCGACCGCGGCGAACGGGTCGTGGGGGTTCAGCGCTGAGTGGCCACACTCGGCTCGACAGCGCTGGAGGTGCCGTACGCCCAAAGCTCTCCCTACGAGTCCAGCGACATGAGCTTCTTGAACGCCTTCCGGAACTCGGGGTTGAAGATGGTGTAGATGACGGGGTTCACGAAGCTGTTCATGTAGCCCAGCCACGTGGTGAGGATGAAGGCGGCCACGCCGGGCTGGCAGTTCATCTCCAGCTTGGTGCAGGTCGCGTCCAGGATGTTGCAGGTGAAGAAGGGCACCCAGCACACCAGGAACACGCCTGCGGCAAAAGGAGGGCAAATCACAAACACGAACACACACATTCCCCGATTGTGGGCGAGTCTGGAGACAGGCGGGCAGACCGGCCAGCCTGTGCGTGCAAGTGGCCCCCGCCCGTATTCAAGCGGAAACGCTTTTCCCTTAATTTTCCTTTTTTGTTTTGCCAGTCCAGTGGGGCGCATTGTCTTCGACAACGGGAGGACCGCCGCAATCCCCGCCAACAAAGCGGTACCGCCAGCCAGCAGAACGCGCGGCGCGGCGCGGCGCGGCGGACAACGAGGCCCTGAAAAGGCGCGGCCGGCGCGGGACACTGGCTGATTAATTTTCGGGGGAAATAATTCTCATGAGACGCGCCGCGGCTTGCGGGAGTCGCGTCCTTGGTTCTGCGGGGCACCGCGGAATCGAAGGGAGAGAGCACCGAACAAGGGCAGCCGCGAAGAGCAGCACCAGCAGCCTATTTTCCGGTGCGCCGCCTCGTCCCGGACGCCGAGGACGCCGAGGACGCCCACAAGGCCGTGGTCATTGTCGGGAGTAGCCGCGCAGATAAGGCCGCCGTCGACACGCTCTTCTTTTCTGTTATCACCCCGGACGTGGAAATTGGGGCGCAGCGGAAAATCGGGGGAGCCAACAGAAAGGGCGGGCAGGGGTGTGGGGGCGCCGGACCGCACCCTAATACCTTCGGACAGGGAGGCGGGGCGGGGCGTGCGTCCGGCGCTGCATATTACGAAGCGCGCACGTGCCGGGGCCGTGCCGGGCCCTATGTGGGCTGTGAGGGCCGCCCTGTTGTTGCCTGGACCCTCCCTCATGCCTGCCTTGCTGCCTTGCCAGCGTGCCGCGCCAGCCGCCAGCATGCCGCCAACAACCCAGCCCTTCCGGCTTTGGCCTCGGAGCGCTCTGGGCCGCACGGGCCCTGCGCCACAGGGGCTGGCCGGCCGCTGGAGCCTCCAGCATGCACTCCAGCGCGCAACACGTCGCCGTTTTGCCGGCCATGTCGCCGCTTGACGCGGCTCGACAGGGCCAGGTGCAGAAAAAAAGGCGAAAGGAAAGATGAGGGGGTGGAATGACGGCGACCCTTCGACGGCCGCCGCTGGAACTACTGCACTAGAGATCCTTCTCGCCATTGACACGCCCGGCGAGATGGACACGATGACGGCGAGCTTGTGGCCCGATTGGAGGGGCGGCTTCCGTCATCATCCGGCCTCTCTCCCCCTCCCCCTCCCCCTTCCGAGCGGCCCGCTAACGAGGCTGCACACCGCACTGATGTGGCCGCATAGAGCCATTACAATGAAATTTTGGAGGGTCGGCCGGGCCAGCGCGCCCTGGCGCGCCCCGACTGGCCTTTGCCACGGCCCGGCGACCCGGCACACCACACCCGGCCCGGCCCGGCCCGGCCCGGCATCGCCAATTTGTCGCGCCCCGCTGCGCTTTTCGGCGCAGTTTCACTTGTTCCCCTGATGGCGGTGTCTAGGCGTTGGACGCCCCAGTCCCGCTGCGGCCCGAACGGCAAATCCTACGCCATTTTTGAAAGTTGGCGTGGCGCGTTGGCAGCGACCGAGTCCCCCCCCCCTCCCTTTCATGTCGTCCGAATGGAGCTCATTTCCCTCCGACGTGCATAATGCCCACACACGCGGGAGAGCGCCACAACGGAACGGTGACAAACAAACGTGCAAAATCGCGGCCGCCGACGGCATGGAAAAGGGAGCATTGAAAAAATCATTACTCGTTGAGTGCTCCACAAAACGGGACGTCACACAGTATGCACTAGAACGTGTACAGTCCGTTCCGACTAGCGTTTGCATGCGTATGCTCCAGTTGGTTTGGGTACGGGAGGTGCTTTTGAGTGTGGTGCAGTTCATGCATTCCATGTTGACGTTTCCTTTGTGGTGGTGTTATTTTCAGAAACGTGAAATTGGACTTCCGCGTGATTGTGCTTTCCGTGGTACAGCGGCCCTGACCAGTTCGGCCAGCGGAGCAGAGCGGGGCCCGGCGGAGCGGAGCCCGTCTGAATAATGGGAAAATAATAAAGAAAGTGGGCGCGCAAAGAAGGCGGCCACGGCGGAGGCGGGGTTCGAACCTCGGACCCCCGTCTAACTGCCTTAATGGTGGCCGAGTGCGTCCCTAATTGTACCATTAGACTCGCAGCGCGACCGCACCGCATTAGTTCCATCTTTCAGGCCTCGGCCGCCAGCCCGGCCGCCAGCCCGCCTCGGCCCACCCCCTGCGACACGGCCTCCACGGTCTCCACGGCCTCCACGGCTTGCCTCGGAACGCGGGACTGCAACAGCTTGCCGCGACACAGAGGAAACGAAGGCAATAAACTGGAATGGGCTACCAATTGGCCGCCCCGCCCCGCCCCGCCGGAATGCGAGAGGGATTCCCAGCGCGCGCGCCTTTAGGGAGTAGGGTTTTAGAGGGAAAGGCAAATTTGTTGCTGTTGCCCGTTTATTTGAAGCCTTCGGGGCGGTTTTTGGTGGGGCTCACTGAACGAAAGCAGCACGGGGCCACAGTGTAGCGGCATGCATCGCGCGACTCCCCGCAAAAAAGCTACGGCCGCGAAGACGAGATACACGCGAACGGGGTTGGTACCCACCCAGCACGATGGCGAGCGTCTTGGTGGCCTTGCGCTCCTTCCTGGCCGCTGACTTGTCCCGCTTCTTCCGCGACGCCTTGTGCTTGGAGTAGATGGTGAAGCGCGACTCCTTGTTGTCCTTGCTGTCCTTGGTGCTGCACTTGGTGCTGCTGGTGGACGGCGGGTCGGGCCCGCCCTTGCGCAGGCTGCCCGACAGCACCCGCTTCAGCGCGGCCGCCCCGTTGCGCTTCCCCTGCCGGACAGAGAACACAGTCATCGAACCGCCGCCAGCGCCGCACAGTGGGCCAGGACACCGGTGGAGGCGGACAAAACGCGTTTTGAGCTCCAGAGTCGCTAAATGGGACTCGAACCGAACGTATGACCCTCACCAATGGATTCCTCGTTCGTAGAGCAATCCATTGGTGGGGTCACACGCTCGGTTCGAGTCCCATTTAGCGACTCTGGAGCGCAAAACGCGTCTAGAGTTTTGTCCGCCTCCACCGGTCTTCTGGCCCACTGTGAGCCGCCCCGGGACACCAAAACGTCAAAACGACGATGAAACTCGATTAACGCGATAAAGAAACAACGGAATCTCAGCTGAGAGTGGTTTGTTTTGAAGGGCGGAGAGACCGCATGCTGCGGCTAGACGCGTCGAGTAGTGCTCCAAGCAGTACCCGCCGGGCACGCTGTTGCCGCCGTGCCGCCGAGCACCGCAGCGCGCAAACTCGAGGCTTAATCTCATTCCGGACAACTTCGGCCGCCACTTTCATGTCCCGACATTTTGTCGACACTTCTGCGGCCGTTGGCCGTGGTTCCGCGCATGCATTTCGCGTTGCCGCTCGCCCCACTCAGGGCGGCCAGTTCGCCGCAGCCGCTCGTGGAGGCGGGCGGGGCTCATGCAGTCCGGGCGAAGCGGCACAGGTAACCGCAAGGGGGGATGCTGGGCAGAATCACGACCAGCGCGACGACCAGCGCGACGACCGGCGCCATGGCGAACCGTGGCGAGGCGAGCCACCCCCTGCCTGCCTCGGCCAGCACGGCCAGCACGGACACTTGTGCTGCATGGCGGGCACCCCGCCGACACGGTCTGACTCTGGGTTTGGCGACTCTGTGTGAGTTTGTGTGTGTGTGTGTGTGGGGGGGGGGGGGGAGCCTACCCACCCGGACAAAACTAAATCACGACAACTGGCCGCCGCCAACTAGTCCCTCATGCTGCGGCGGGCTTGCCAGCTTGCCAGGCTTGCCACCATTGCCACGACTCGGCCCGGAACACACCCGCACCCCGCCGTGCCTCCGACAGGGTCGGCCAGGCCGGCAGGGCCCCCGCCGCGCCCTGCGCTTGCTGCGGCACTGCCTCCCCCTCCCCCTCCGCCATGCGCTATCCGCGGTGCATTGCGCCTGCCCGGGGAGTCCCTTCACATCGCCTCGGCCCCGCAGTCATCTTCCAGAGTAAAGGCACTGCTCCGAAGAATGTTCAATTTGCGTCGTGCTTCCGCGTTCCCCCGGACGACGGATGGGCGGGGCGGGGCGGTCGTCCTGGCACCCCACACTGGCAAACTACGCCGGCACACTGGTGCACGCTGGCCGCGGGCGGGCAGGCGAGCCAACTTGACGCGGGATGCGCGGCCTACCTGCCCGGCCGGGGGGAGTGGGCGCGGGGCGCACCAACTCCACCTAACGGCGGGCGATGCGTGCAGGGCGGCCACCCGTGTAACACGAAATTAACGGCAATTCGAGCTAGTTTACAGGGCTACACATGCTCCCCTCGACCCGTGTGGTGGCACCACTGCGGCAGAGGTGTGCGCGCGGGGCTCGGGCTTACCGGCCCGTCAAACAACTGGGGCGGCAGGCTTACCAACTTACACACCGCCACGGTGACGTGTGCATCGGCAGTGCTACCAACTTGAAAACATTAATAGTTGCCCCTGCTGTTGTTGTTGACCCTGTTGCTGCTAGTTGCGGCCCTGGCGGTCGCCACGTGGCTTCGCTTGCTGCGCTTGGCAGTGTGTAAGGTGAACGCGCATGCCGAGCGGAGCGGACAGAGATCCCTGCAGGGGATCAAAGCCGGTGGGCCGGGCAGAGGCTTAAAGGCCCCTCGTGCGCAACAAAGCAACGCAAAACAGAAAAAAAAATCACACAGTAGAGCGGTGCGCGAACGCACCGTGATTAGACTGACCTGCGGGGCGGGCGCTTTGAGCATCTTGGGGCTGCCGGGCGCGGACCCGGACACGATGGTCGTCTCCTCCACGTGCGACGCCACGTAGCCGGAGTCGTTGTTCCCGTTGGGGTCGGCCATCGGCGTGGGGGTGAGCGTGGCCACCACCACCCTGCGGACACAATCGCCATCGTCACACACAACAACACACACCCAAAAAAGACAACCAAAACAACAATAAACGGAGAGGAACAAAACAACGGCAAGTTCACAGCCGCAGCGGTGCGAGCGACTAGTTTCGCATCGCAGTGTCGGGATTAATAACTGCCGCCATGTGCATCATCCAGTCGGGCCGGTCCAATCGAAAACACAATACTAACGCAATCATATTGAAGCGCCACGCCGCGCGGCACACCCGCCCCGCCCCGCCCCGCCCCGCCCCGCCCGTGTGCCGAAAGCACGTTGTCTGCATGCGAGGGCGAGGCGAGGGGGACTGCGTCACGCGCCGAAACAAAGTGCGAAGGCACGGCCCGGCCCGCTCGGCCGGGGAAAGGGAAAGCCCGCGCCGCGCGGATCGGCTCGCTGCGGGGAATGTGATAAAAACTTTGGCTAGGCGTGACTGGAGCGCGGCGGGCCGAGCCTCGCCGAGCGACGCGCTATATCGTCTGCGGCAAGTTGGGCGCGGCATCCCCGCGGGGCGGGGCGGGGCGGGGCGGGCGGGGCGGGCGGGGCGCGGCGGGGCTGATTACAGGCCTGGAACGCTGAGCGAAAAAGCGCGGCTGCGGCTGATTGAAGGCACTGCCACTCTATCAATGCATTACCCATTCAAAAATATGTAAATCCGACAAACGCCAGTTGGCGGTTCGGTGGCACAAAGGTCCCGAAAAGGCGCTCGGCGGCGCCTCGCCTAGCCCGCCGTCCCGCGGGCCCGGCCGGCCCCGGCCTGCTGACCAGCAAACGGGCATCCAGCATCAGGAGTTGTCGGAGTTATCGCTCGGGGCGGGGAACCAATCAGGCCATGCAAAAGGTGGGCCCGACTCCCAAACAAATATTAGCCCCGACCTGCAGTGGCGGGGGTTTGCCCTGCGCAGCCCCCCCCCCCCTTATCCCAACCGGGGGTTGACCACGTCGAAAATCTGATCTGTGGACAGGATTCGACTGACCCGACGCACGTTGACAGTATGGGTGCATGTTGTCCTCCTGCACGCCGCGCAAAGAGCTCAACGAGAAAGGAGTCAGCAGCGTCAATTTTCGTTTCCATCCGAGCGCAGCGCAGCGGAGCGACTGAGTGAGTCGAGAGCGCTGCTGCGATAAGAAAACCTCTGGCGGCGTCTCGTGATCAACATCAAGAAGGTCCGGGTGCGGAATAAGGGTCCGGCCCTACGGTCCAAGGGCCAGGACCGGCCAGGACCAAGGGCCGGCGGGGCGGCAGGGATGCGGTTCGCCCTGCGGTTGGGGCCAGCCCAGACCAGCCCAGGCCAGCCCAGGCCAGCCCAGGCCAGCCCAGGCCAGCCCAGGCCAGCCCAGGCCAGCCCAGGCCAGCCCAGGCCAGCCCAGGCCAGCCGGTCCAAAGCGGGAGGCCAGGTGGAGTAAGAGGGCCGGTGGAGCGACACCGCAGAGCGTGCTGTCGCAGTCTCTCTCACGCCCCCGCAAACGCCGCGAGTGCGAGAGAGACCGTCCAGCACCGACCGCAGGGCGCGGCGAAGGGCTGCGGCACGGCAGGGCCCTACCGCCTCCATCACGCACGTCCGGCGCGGCCGAGGCGCGGCGCGTCCGGAAGTAGTTCAGTGGCACCGCAACTGATCAGCTAGTGGAAAAGTTACGAGCGTCGATACCCCCCGCCCGCGACAACGTCCCCGCCCCCCCGCGCGAGGGGTATCGCCGTACCGCGGCACAGCCATCGGGCGGCCGACGGTCCGCGGTCGCGGTGACGGACACTCTCCGCCGTGACGCCGAATTAAACGCACGATTACCCGGGCGCTGGAGCAAACGTCCGCGCCGTTTCGCCGCTCCGCTCGGCGGGGAGGCAACGGCCCCGCCAACGGCCGCGCCGACGGCCGCGCCCAAGTATGAAATATCCCTTCAATCCGAGCCGCGCTGTCGGCGGCCGAGCCGGCCGTGCTGGCCGCGGATATTGTTGCATGTCCTGGCTTTATTGTGGTGGCCGGCCCGGCCCAGCCCGCTGCTGCCCACGCCGCAAACGGCCGCGCTGACCTCCACGCGCGTTTACGGTGGCGTGGCCGAGCCGCGCCCGGCGCAGTGGATCCGGATAAAAAAAAGTGTCGTAAACAAGGAGGACGACGACGAGATGGCGCTGGACGTGATACGCCGGCGCAACTATTTTTATATTTTGCGGTTTGTCACGACCGGGACAGGGAGGCGACGCAGCGTTTTATCAATTTTCAGACGCGGAGCGGTTCTGTAAAATCACCCACGTTTTTGTTTTTTGCCTTATAAAGAATACGGTCCTGGATGGGAGTTGTTCATTTCTCCTACCTAAATGTTCGCCTACCTGTCTATTTCGCCTACCTATATTTCGCCTACCTAATAAAAATATTGAATAAAAATATTCAATAAAATATTGCCATTTTTCGCCTACCTATAGTTCGCCTACCTAATAAAAAAAATTAAATAAAAATATTCAACAAAAAAACGAAAAAATCGGCGGCAAAAAGTGGCAATACGAAAGTCTCAAGGAGACCCGCCGATCAGCTTCGGTGTTCTTATGGGAACCGGGCCTTCATCCGACGCTCCCTGCCGCGCAATTCGACAGATTAGTGGGTTCGTATTGGGCTGGCCCACCCGAAGTGCGCGCGGTTTCTGTGGTACAGTGAGAGTCCAGATTCAGAGGCCTTACCTCAGAGGGGTCACATTGGGTATTTGAACCCGCGACCCCGAGTGCCGAGTCTAGTCAACTCCTCTACCCTGACCGCTCAGCCACCGAACCAGCTTGTCGGCGGCGATGTCGCAACTCCTCTTGAGCTGCCGTTCGAGAAATCTGGTCCCGAAAAAATGGTACTTTGAGCGGTCTCGAACCCGGGACCTGCTGCTTCCCACATCATGCTCTTAACCACTGAGCCACCGGGACGCCATGGCACCCGCCCTGCCTGCGCTGGTACTGAATCTTCTCTGGATATACCTCCCCAAGCAATTGGTCGCCGAAAAAATTGTGTATACTACCGGTCCCGAACCCGGGACCTGCTGCTTCCCACATCATGCTCTTAACCACTGAGCCACCGGGGCGCCATGGCACCCGCCCTGCCTGCGCTGGTACTGAATCTTCTCTGGATATACAGTCAAACTCCAGTATAGGCTCGTCCAATATAGGCTCGGTTTTAGCGACGGACCCCCGGCTGGCCCCCGAGCCGAGCACCTCACCGGCGAGGGTTTTATTGAGGGTCAGGCCAGGCAGAGCCACAGACAATAGGCCAGTCGAGCGGAAGCCAAACAAAAGGCATGCGCGCCTTTTAATTTAATATTATTAAAACCTCCAAATTTTTAACAATATCCTCATTTTTGATTATGTTTAAAAGTGCCAAAAATTTTAGGAATTTTCGTGTTAATTAGACCTTCCTACGATAATTTTAACGATGCGTGTCCGAGGTCATTAGTCTAGCGTTCGAAATGTGAAAATTGTCGTAGCGATTTCTCGTTTTCACTCAAGTTTCCAGTTTTTTCTCCTCTTTCCAAAGCTGGTTTCAAAATTGCATATTTATAAAAACTGTAGGTTTTGGTGCTTCGAAAATCAAAGGCCAGTAACTCATTGTCCGCACCTGACCTGGCCTCTCTTGTTCCCGAGCGCTCGGCGAGGCCCACGGCAACACGTGCAAAACCTTTTTCCCAATCTGAAATAGTCTCGGCGACCCTCCCGAACTGCGAGCCTATATTGGAGTTTGACTGTACCTCCCCAAGCAATTGGTCGCCGAAAAAATTGTGTATACTACCGGTCCCGAACCCGGGACCTGCTGCTTCCCACATCATGCTCTTAGCCACTGAGCCACCGGGGCACCATGGCACTGGCCCTGCCTGCGCTGGTACTCAATCTTCTCTGGATATACCTCCCCGAGCAATTGGTCGCCGAAAAAATTGTGTATACTACCGGTCCCGAACCCGGGACCTGCCGCTTCCCACATCATGCTCTTAACCGCTGAGCCACCGGGACGCCATGGCACCCGCCTTGCCAGCGCTGGTACTCAATCCTCTCCGAATAAACCTCGTCAAGAAGTCGGTTGCCTCTGCCGAAAAATATCGTCATGGTACTAGTTACGAACCCGAGACCTGCCAGTCAGGAACGCAGCACTCTAACCACAGCGCTACTTGGTTGCTACGCACAGCACTCACCCCATCGCCGAAGTTATTATTTGTCCAGCATCAAGCAAGATGGGTGGCTATTGAAGTTTGGCGCTAGGTTAGTGGCGTGCATAGCAACCTGGTAGCGCCGTGGTTAGAGTGCTGCGTTCCTGACTGGCAGGTCTCGGGTTCGAGGCTAGTGCCATGAGCATATTTTTCGGCAGAGGCAACCGACTTCTTGACGAGGTCTATCCAGAGAGGAATAAGTACCAGCGCTGGCAAGCCGGGTGCCATGGCGTCCCGGTGGCTCAGTGGTTAAGAGCACGATGTGGGAAGCGGCAGGTCCCGGGTTCGGGACCGGTAGTATACACAATTTTTTCGGCGACCAATTGCTTGGGGAGGTATATCCAGAGAAGATTGAGTACCAGCGCAGGCAAGACGGGTGCCATGGCGTCCCTGTGGCTCAGCGCTTACGAGCACGTTGTGGGAAGCAGCAGGTCCCGGGTTCGGGACCGGTAGTATACACAATTTTTTCGGCGCCCAATTGCTTGGGGAGGTATATCCAGAGAAGATTCAGTACCAGCGCAGGCAGGGCGGGTGCCATGGCGTCCCGGTGGCTCAGTGGTTAAGAGCATGATGTGGGAAGCAGCAGGTCCCGGGTTCGGGACCGGTAGTATACACAATTTTTTCGGCGACCAATTGCTTGGGGAGGTATATCCAGAGAAGATTCAGTACCAGCGCAGGCAGGGCGGGTGCCATGGCGTCCCGGTGGCTCAGTGGTTAAGAGCATGATGTGGGAAGCAGCAGGTCCCGGGTTCGAGACCGCTCAAAGTACCATTTTTTCGGGACCAGATTTCTCGAACGGCAGCTCAAGAGGAGTTG